TTATGGGCAACACGGTTGGTTCCGTGTTTTTGCTGTTGTGAATAGAGCTACAACAAACATACGTGTGCAGGACTGCCAGGGGACGGGGGGGTGGGATTGGTAGTTGAGGGAAACTGCTCGGGGAGGGAGGGGCATACCTCATCAATAAAGGTACCCGCATAATCAACATTTGTATACTTAACCCTGAATTGTACCCCACATCTTTATTATAAAGAATAAACAAACAAATAAATAAATAGTTTATGAGGAAAAAAAAAGACCAGAAGCTGGTCGCTTTGGGCTCATAAGAAGGTCCCAATGAGATATTAGGAGGCCCGGCCTCTCTGCCCGCAATGGTAGCATCAATGACGACCCCAACAACAAATCAGAGCAGATGTGTAGAAATGAAAGCTACAGCATCTCAGCCATGCCCTCTCCTGTCCGTGATAGAGCTGACCACCCTCCAGGGCTTCAGGAGTCAGCTGTTTGGGCCTCCAGACCCAAAGGGACCGTTTTCCTGGTTTCTGTAAGTCAGGGCTGTGATTCTTCTCAGGGCCTGTGGAAACTGTACCTCGTAGGCCCGCGTGGTTCTCAGCTTCCCAAGTGGGCCTCTCTTTCAGGAGCTGGCTTTTATACCATGTGCTCTGCTTTTGACTTGAAGTTTGCTTCAATTAAAATCGTTGCTAAATGACTGTTTTGATAGTCCTCTAGTTAGAGGTTAAAAATCTGTGGAACTTTAGAGGTCTTTATACATGTCTTCTGACAATCAAGAGGCTCTTGCTCTTAGTATCCAAAAGGGGGTTCCCTCACGGAGACTCCTGCTTCTTCCGTGTGAGCAGGGTCTGAGGGAAAGGTGCAGTGTGGAGACTCAGAGACCTCCCAATCTTGGTTCATGTAATGGAAGGAAGAGGGGCGAAGTGGAGTCGGCCTGCTTTCCCACCAGTTGTGAAAGAACTTTAAATGTCAAGAATAAAGAAGTCCAGGCCAGGCGCAGTGGCTCATGCCTATAATCCCAGCACTTTGGGAGGCCGAGGTGAGAGGATTGCCTAAGCCCACAGCTTTGAGGTCAGCCTGGGCAACTTGGTGAGACCTCATCTCTACAATAAATCAAAAAATTAGCTGGGTGTGGTGGTGCACACCTGTAGTTCCGGCTACTTGGAAGGCTGAGGCGGAAGGATTGCCAGAGCCCAGCAGGTTGAGGCTGCGGTGGCCGTGAGTGTGCCACTGCACTCCAGCCTGGGCGACGGAGTGAGACTCCGACTCAAAAAAAAAAAAAAAGAAGTCCAGATGAACTCTGCTAAGGTACAATGTGTGGTAAATTGCCCCTCTACCTCCCAGTCATGTCATTCACGGTTCCCAGCTGGGTAATGTTTCCATCAAGCTCTTTGTTCATTAGAACATAGTTTCTGGGCAACCCCCTCGGGTCCCCTCCCACTGTGGGAGCTTTTCTGTCCTCTAAATAAATCCTGCTTTCTCACATTTAAAAAAAAAATGTCATTTCAAGCTGAGATTGCCACATGTGAGTGATTCCCTTTCAGTTCCTGCCTCAAACTCTGGTTGTGGGCAACGTTTTTTCCCCACTCATTGCCTCAGCTTTCCCTCAGAGCAAAGGAAATAATCTACCTCAGAGACTTGCTTGGGGCTGGAACTGGTAATCACAATTATAAAGATTTAATATTACACAAATTGTCAAAGACTGAATGTGAATTTGTGTAATATAAATGGAACAATCTATAAGAGAACCTTCACTCATGGAACTAGTAAACCAGTTCCCATTCTCCTCTACTATTTCTTCTCAGAACCTTAAAATTAGATGAAAACCAAATATAACATGCCAGTTGTGGTGGTGCATGCCTGTAATCCCTGCTACTTAAGAGATGACCTTCCAAGTAGCCGAGACTACAGACACACACCACTACACCCACCTCATTTTTTTATTTATTGTAGAGACAAGGTCTCACCAAGTTGCCCAGGCTGGTCTCAGACACAGGCAATCCCCTTGCCTCAGCCTCCCAAAGTGCTGGGATTACAGGCATGAACCACCACGCCCAGCTGAGCAGATGCTTTTAGTAGCAGATTGGACATAGCCGAAGAGAGAATTAGTGAACTGGAAGCTATGTCCATAGATATATCTACACAGAATTATATTGAGTAAAAATAATAATGGGTACAAAAATGAGAATAAAAGACATGTGACTTATGGCTAAGGGGTGTTGCATGGTAGGATAAGAGAGAGATTAGAGGAAAAATGGGGCAGAAGCAATATTTAAAAGATAGAGGCTGAGAATTTCCCAAAACTTATGACAGCCACCGGTTTAAGAAGGACTGGATAACCCAAGTTGGATAAATTAAAAGAAGCTCACACCTACCCACACTAGAGTAAAACTGCTGAAAACCAAGGATAACAACATAAAATTTTAAAATCAGCTACAAATAAAAAACAGATCACATGACTTTTCAAGAAAACTGTAATACAAGCATGTCTACAAGAATTCTATAGCTAACATCATTCTTAATGGTGGAATACTGAATGCTTTGTCCCTGAGGTTGGGAACATTACCCCAATCATCACCACTTCTATTTAACTCTGTAGTAATAGTCTAGCTTATCCAGTATTGGATGAAGGGCAGGGAGGAAGAGAAGAAAAAGAAAAAAGAAAAATGTAGGCTTGAAAAGGAAGAAATAAAATGGCCTTTTGTTGCAGAACCCCTGATACATAGAGAATCCCTAAAATCTGCAGTTATATTATTATAATTAACAAATAACCTTAGCAAAGTCTCTGGTTACAAAATCAATATACAAAATCAAGGCCAGGTACAGTGGCTCATGCCTGTAATCTCAGCACTTCGGGAGGCTGAGGCAGAAGGATTGCTTGAGCCCAGGAGTTTGAGACCAGCCTGGGCAACATAGCAAGACTTAGTCTTTACAAAAATGAATTAGCCAGGCATGATGGCTTACACCTGTATTCCTGGCTACTCAGGAGGCTGAAATGGAAGAACCACCTTAGCCCAGAAGGGCGAGGCTGCGGTGAGCAGTGATTGTGCCACTGTATTCCAGCCTGGGCAACAGAGTCAGTTTGCCACTCAAAAAAGAGAGAGAGAGAGAGAAGAAATTTTACCCAGCACTGATATGTTTTGTAAACACAACTTGAGAAATCAGTAAACATTTATTAGGCGCTTAAGATGGACTTGTGCATGGACACCTGCGCTTACATGAATATTTGAGAACCTGTGTGTGTGCATGTATTTAGTTGAAGGCTCACCCATTATTTAATGTCGTTTCATATCTTCAGTCTTTCTGCACTCCAACCCATGTGGCATCTGCACCGTTGTTCTCTCTCATACTGTGTCACTCACGGGTAGCAATACTCTAAGACCTTCCATCACATTAAACCAGGGCAGCTGGCTGGCATGGGCTTGTATTCGGCAGATATGAGTTCTGTTGCTCACTTCCCTGCAAATAAATAACCATATATAAAGTCCCTTGACTTTATATATGGCTGTTTACCCCCAGGCTTCATCTGTAACAGGATGGTGGTGATGAAGATTAAACGAGATAATGAAAGTAAAACTCTTCATACAGTGTTTCCATCAAAGTAAGGGTGGGTGATAGTAATAATAATAATAATAATAATTGACCGGGTGCAGTGGCTCATGCCTGTAATCCCAGCACTTTGGGAGGCTGAGGCAGGAGGATTTTGCTTGAGCCTAGAAGTTCGAGACCGGCCTAGACTGCATAGCAAGACCTCCTCTCCTCAATAAATCAAAAAATTAGCTGGGCGTGGTGGCACGTGCCTGTGGTCCCAGCTACTCTGGAGTCTGAGGCAGAAGGATCGCCTAAGTCCAGGACCCTGGCCACTGCATTCTGTAATTCAGTTCAGAGGTGCCCACTGGAAGCACCTTTGCTCAGGGCTGGCTGTTCTCTCACACTCTTGGTCACTGAGAAAACCCCTGGTTAGGACCCATTTCTAAGGAGAGGAAGGGGAAGGGGTGCCTTCTCACACCTTCCAGAACCTTGTAGCCTGGCATTGTGGAAACGCACCTGCCTTTCCCTAGGGAGGGCCGTTCTTCCTGCCCCTGTGAATACCTTCCTTTCCGGAGACGTTAGTTTCCAAGATCGAATAAGGAACGGTTTGCTGCTTCTGCTTCCTCTTGGTGCATTCCATGCTGCTTATACCTCACCGTCAGGTAGAAGTCCAACCCTTCAACTCGAAAGTGTTTTTTGATGGGTCCCAGCTGTGCCTGTAATATATAATGTATATACAAAGCCTGTCAGAGTAGCCTAACAAATTTCTTCCCCTTTCTCTCAATTCCTAATACATTTGTATAGTCTCCATCAACGATTCTTTTGTAGAGAGAGAGAGAGAGAGAGAGAGAGAGAGAGGAAAGAAGAAAGGAAGGAAGGAAGTCGGTCTTGCTATGTTGCCTAGGCTGGTCTCAAACTCCTGGGTTCAGGCAATCCCCCCTCCTTGACCTCTCAAAGCGTTAGCGTTACAGGCGTGACCCACTGCACCTGGCCCCCATCGATAATTCTAGTCTTCTTCAGAAGCCTTTGTTTGAGGTGAGTTTCTATCTTATTCCAATGTGGTTGTGGTCTGAAAGGAAGAAACTCTCGCCTGTCACTTCTAGATTTGTCTGCCACTTAATAAATGCTGCTTGTCAAGGCTCACCGGGACAGAACTGACAGAAACAGCCCAGCTGGGGAAAGTCTTCTCCAATAAAAAACTTTGTGCGGCCTTCCGCCCTGGATCCTACACAAACACACAACTGCCTTTGAGTTCCCTCTGTGAGCGGCTCTGAACCAGAGCTGTGTAAGGGACGTACTCCCCTTTTCCTGGGGGATCCTTTCCTCGCCCCCCAGCTACTTGGCTGACCTCAGCAGAAAGGGCCTCGAGGCTGGAAGGACTGGCCGCACAAGACCCGGAATGTGGGTGGAGTCCCCCATCAGGAAGAACAGAAAACTGAGTTGCCAGAAGGAATGTTATCACCCTAATAAAACGCAGCACATGGTTTGCATTTCAGATACATCAACTGTTCAATGGGAACCCGGGCGCTTTCCCATGACAGTATTTTTATCCCTGATGGGGGAGCAGGAAGTCAGCAGACAGTTCAAGCAATGTCACAGGACAACATCCTGGGCAAAGTCAAAACTCTTCAGGTAAGACAGCTTGAGTCTGGAAGGTCAGAGCCATAGGAGGGGGCCCGGCGGTGGAGGGAAGTGGGGAACAGCCCAGGCTGGGCCTGGAGCCATGGATTGGGAGGTCCGGGGCTTGCTCCTGGTGAGAAGCTTTGCTTTCCTGAACCTGACTCCGTTCTCTGGAAGCCTCCTGTCCACCTATGAGAGCTACACTGTCACCCTTGTATCCCAACTGCATGCCACGGCCTCGTCTTCTCTCTCAAACTGTTCCTTCATTTTTTGCTGGATGTGAGAACAAGCCCAAGAGAAGCCTCAGGACTTGGGTGTCACGAAAGCGTTCCTAACCGTTAAGCATCGCCGTCATGCCTGAATTGTCGCGGACTGGCAGCTGGGTGTGTACACAACACGCAGTCACTTCCCGAGTCGCCGTAATTGGACAGTGAATGGTGCGACTCTGTTTTTCTGTTGCGTTTGTAAATCGGGTTCCCCCAAGCCCTCTGTCCCAGAGGAATACCACAAAGCTTTTAAACCCCCTTCCTGTCCACCCTGCAGAGGAGGACAGTTTCCCTTCCTGAAACTGACTCGGGGGGGCAACTCCCTCCCAAGGAAAATATAATAAATAATTTTTCACTAAATATGATCAAAATAAGGGGGAATCCAAGAAAAGCAGGAGCAAAGACACTTAGGGACTTGGCTTGGTGGCTCATGCCTGTAATCCCAGCACTTTGGGAGGCCGAGGTGAGAGGATTGCTTGAGCCTAGGAGTTCAAGACCAGCTTGGGCAACATAGAGACCCTCGTCTTTACAAAAAATAAAAAATTAGCTGGGTGTGGTGGTGTACGCCCACAGGCCAGCTACTCGGGAGGCTGAGGCAGAAGGATTGGCTGAACCCAGGAGTCTCAGGCTGCAGAGAGCCATGATCATGACACTGCACTCCAGCCTGAGTGACAGAATGAGACCCTGACTCAAAAAAAGACATTTAGGGTTTGCATCAGTTTGCCCAGCTTGCTTGGTAGATAGAATTCTCTCACCCAAGAGAAACGCCTAAGTCAGCACTTCTCTGTGATGGGCGTGCTTGGAAGTGATCCAGATTATGAACAGAGGGCTCTGGGTCTCTGGTTTCCACCTGTCTGTAACTCTGCCACGGTGAATGAATGAATGAATGAATGCCCCCCCAAAAAAGAAAAGAAAAAAAAGGAACAGCTAGCTTCTGAACTACTGAGAAGATGAAGCATTGTACTCAACAGAAAATTGTCTTTCTTCTTGAGATGTTTTTGTTTCTACTGAGCATTGAGCTGTGTATTTTGGAATATTTGGTCACATATTCCACGCACACTCAGCTGACTATATCATATGGCAAACGAGGAAATGGTAACTCCTCGCTGCCCAAAGCTATAGTCCTGCCCCAGGGCCAACCCAGCATGTTCTGCATGTCCCAGGATTTCCTAACCAGGGTCCATGCTTGGTGCTAGCTGACTGTGCTCTTACATTTTTTATAGACTCAGAAGTAAAAGTGAATTGTCACTTCTCCTAGGCTGGAGAAGAGGGAGGGATGGTGACTGCCAGAGAATACCTTGATCTACCTCCTCCTTCCTTTTCCTGCTTCAAGTCTTGAGACTCCTGGAATATTCTTCCTGGGACGTTCTGAAACCCTGGCTCAGTACAGCCCCTTTCTAAGAGGAATGATTTTCCGATTCTAGTCCACCAAAGAGCTGTATTGCAGGGGGGCTTTCAAGGGTTTCTTTAAAAAGTAGATAACAGTCCCACTGTCTTCAACGATATCTGCTCTGTGGCATCACGCTACATGCCACTGCCACTCCCAAAGTGAACTTAGGGCTGTCAAAATATACTGTATCGTTCTGGAGCATTTGGAAATATAGAAAGTCAGTAAAAATATATGAGTGCCTGGTATTTCTGTTAACGGTAAGGCATGAATTCTAAAGAACCTGGTCTCGTAATTAATAAAATGTAAGATGACTAACTTCCCTGAAGCGACGGTTATATAAACGCAAGAGGAAAACTGTGAGTAAAGCCAAAATGACGATTTTATTTGTATGCTGCCTATTGGTGATACCTGCTCATAGGAGGTCTAACTTTGCGTCTGCTGCATGGACTCGTGAGCTTCTTTTTAGCTCTGAAGTTATGTTTTCGAAAACATAAAAGGTGCTGGGCACAGTGGCTCACGCTTGTCATCTCAGCACTTTGGGAGGCGGAGGCGAGAGGATGGCCTGAGCCTAGGAGTTCGAGACCAGCCTGAGCAACATTGTATCGTCTCTACAATAAATCAAAAAATTAGCCTGGCGTGGTGGCTTATGCCTGTCATCCCAACACTTTGGGAGGCAGAGGCGAGAGAATGACCTGAGCCCAGGGGTTCAAGACCAGCCTGGGCAATTTGATGTGCCATCAGCTCTACAATAAGTCAAAAAATTAGTCGGGTGTGGTGGCGAACACCTGTGGCCATGAGCGTGCCACTGCACTCCAGCCTGGGTGACAGTGAGATTCTGAATCAAAAAAAAAAAGAAAACATAAAAGTCTGTTTGCTCTTTGAGGCGGGAAAGGGGGCACCATTATCATAGAAAATGTGGTGGTTTTTTAAAATTTTGGAATAACCCAAGCTATAACTGTATCACCCCCAAAAGACTGTGCTTTATTTTTCAGTCGACTAAGCAGTATGTTCCTGGTAAGTCGTAGAAATAGTAATAAACTTGATTAACTTGCATGAACGCTTTGCATTTTTCCCTGACGACGTGACGCTGGCACTGATGCTTCGTAAGCAGCCTGAAAGATCGCTCCCTTGTAGAAGCCAGCATGGAATGAGAGAGTTGAATTGCGTCGGAGGCATGTGTGTTTTTATGTCCGGAATTGTCTTTGTGTACGTCTGTATGCCTCTTTCTTAAAAAGAGAGAAGTGATGGATAACACCTCTTTGACAGTCAATGCCCTGGCAAGCTGAACGGCCACCAGTACCAAGACATCTTTTAAATAAGACTTCTACTGGAATGGTATTTGAAAAAAAAAAAGGGGTCACCATTGCCTTACGCGACTCTGGTGCAGCCATGTGCTCTTTGAGCTATGGCCATCACCATGTTTCTTGAGCTTTGGTTCCCCTCTCCTGCCTTGGAGAGGGGAATCAATCAATCAATCAATCAATCAATCAATCAATCAATCTCTAATTTACTTTCTAAATAAACCATATAGTCCAGTATTGAAAAGAAGGAAAGAAAGAGGGGAGGGGACACGGTGGCTCACACCTGTAATCCCTGCGCTTTGGGGACGGAGGCGGGAGAATGGCTTGAGGCCAGGAGCTGGGGTTTACGAGACTTCCCAGCCCTTGAAATCCCTGGAGCCCCAGGAAAGGGTGTCATGAATGCCTGCATTGGGGAAGGCTGCCCCCTAGTGGCCGCACGTAGTCATGTCCCCAGGAACTGTGCTCTGGGTACCCAGAGCGGTTAGGATTTCTCCACCAAAAAGCAGAAGGAAATCCAGAAATTAGCCTCCCCTTTCCTGAATAACATGAATCTACCACCTGCCACCATTTCTGTGCCCAAAGATCAACTCTTATAAAAGAAAGATTACATATTTTTTTCTGAGTATAAAAATCGTTCACGTCGGCCCGGCACGGTGGCTCACGCCTGTCATTCCAGCACTTTGGGATTTGGGAGGCCAAGGTGGGAGGATTGCATGAGCTCAGGGATTCGAGGCCAGCCTGGACAACACAGCAAAACTTCGTCTCTACCAAAAAACTTTTAAAAAATAGCTCAATGTGGTGGTGCATGCCTGTAGTCCCAGGTACTCGGGAGGCTGAGACAGAAGGATGGCTTGAACCCAGGAGGTCGAGACTGCAGTGAGCTATGATTGCACCACTGAACTCCAGCCTGGGTGACAGTGAGACCCCCCCAGCTCAAAAACAAAAACAGGCCGGGCACAGTGGCTCAAGCCTATAATCTCAGCACTTTGAGAGGCCGAGGCAAGAGATTGTCTAAGCACGCAGGTTTGAGACCAGCCTGGGCAGCATGGCGAGATCTCGTCTCTACAATAAATCAAAGCTACCATCACCTGGCTGTCTAGCGTTGGGTGAAGTCATTTAACCTCTCTGACACTTTCCACCTGGAAAGGGATGCCATGCTGGTTGATCTGAAGGGCCCTCCAGTTCTTAAAATCTGCAGTCAATACACAAATCACAGTTCACTTGCTGTAGCACTGAGGAGCTTCATAAGCTTCACTCCGTTGCACTTGGGCTCCAATGACCTTGACATTACTTGCAGCTGCCCAGAAGCACAGAGAGGATGCCTGCTTGTCTGAGTTTAGACCAGGCTGTTAGGTAGCTACCAACCGAAGCTACCACTTGGGGATACCACAGTCTAAGTCTGCAGGTCGTTTTTAGAATTACCCCACACCTGCCAGGTGCGGTGGCCCAAGCCTGTAATCCCAGCACTTTAGGAGGCAGAGGCGAGAGGATTGCCTGAGCCCATGGGTTTGAGACCAGCCTGAGCAACATGGCAAGACCTCATCTCTACAATAAATAAAAAAATTAGCCAGGCGTGGTGGTGCGTGCCCATGGCCCCAGCTACTTGGAAGGCTGAGGCGGAAGGATCACCTGAGCCCAGCGGGTCAAGGCTGCGATGGCTGTGAGTGTGCCACTACACTCCAGCCTGGGTGACAGAGTGAGACTCTGACTCAAAAAAAAAAAAAATCACACCACCACATCTTTGTCAAAAAATGCTCAATCTAAACCATGGATTATCTAGCATAGGAAACGTTCAGCCTCAGTAGCTGATATCACCCACTGAGCTGGATTTCACTTAAAAATGCCAGTGTCATCCATTTGAGAATTTTGATACCTAACACAGCTGTCAAGGACACAAAGAATAAACACCTGCTCCCAGCCACGTCTTCCTGGAGTAGATGTCTTTAAACCTGTGTGCTTTTTCTTTGTAGATCCATTTTAACTATGGAAGTATCTGCAGTTTGCTCAAGGAGACAGTCGCTTTATTATTTTTATTCCACAGTCTGAAGGATGGCT